TTGCATTTCCGTGATGATTAGTGATGTTGAGCATCTTTTCATGTACCTGTTGGCCATGTGCGTTTCCTTTTAGGAAAAATGTCTTTTCAGTTCTTCTGCCCCTTTTTTTAATCGTTTTCTTTTCTTTTTTTTGATATTGAGTTGTATGAGTTGTTTACATATTTTGGATATTAACCCTTTATCAGTCATATCACCTGTAAATAGCTTCTCCCATTCAGTAGGTTGTCTTTTCATTTTGTTGATGGTTTCTTTTGCTATACAAAAGCTTTTAAGACTGGTTAGGTCCCATTTGTTTATTTTTGCTTTCATTTCTTTTGCCTTGGGAAAATGATCTAAGAAAGTATTGCTACAATTTATGTCAGAGAATGTTGTGCCTATGTTTGCTTCTAGGAGTTATATGGTGTCACATCTTATATTTAGGTCTTTAAACCATTTTGAGTTTATTTTTGTATATGGTGTGAGGAAGTGTTTTAATTTCATTGATTTACATGCAGCTGTCCAGCTTTCTCAACACCATTTGCTGAGGAAACTGTCCTTTCGCCATTGTATATTCTTGCCCCTTTGTTGAAACTTAATTGACCATAGGTCTGTGGGGTTATTTCTGGGTTCTCTATTCTGTTTCATTGATCCATGTCTGTTTTTGTACCAGTACCATGCTGTTTTGATTACTGTACCTTAGTAGTTTTGTCTGAAGTCTGGGAGGGTTACGCCTCTAGCTTCATTCTTTTTCTTTAGTAATGCTTTGGCAATTCTGGGGTCTTTTGTGATTCCATACAAATTTTAGGATTATTTGTTCTGGTTTTGTGAGAAATATCATGGGTAATTTGACAGGGATCACATTAAATCTGTAGATTGCTTTGGATAGTTATGGCCATTTTAACAATATTAATCAAAGAGCATGTCAACCCATTAGTTCTTAATCTTTATACATGTAACTAGCCACTTGTAATTTTTATACCTCAAAACTAATGTTTCAGAGAATCCACTTAGAAAACGTATAATTCTGGGTGTGGTTTTCAATGTACATGTAATATCTTTAAAATATTGGGCCATATTTAAAGACTAGAAAAAGTATAATGATACATATATAATATTTTAATAGAGAAGACATTTTTGGCTTACAAATGGCTCTAGAAACTGACATTAACTGATCACAAATGTGTAGAGATAACTTTAACTTTTATTTTAATAAAATTCAGCATATTGAAATCTTTGTTGTCTCCATTGAGCATGGAAAGTTAAACTGTCTAATAAGCAATTGTACATTGAAGATTCTTCAGCATTTTCTCAATTTGTTTTTACTTAAAGAGGACTTCACACTCTCCTATTATTAGAATTGGACAAACAAGCTGAATCATCATTGACCTATTATATTAACCATTTTAATAAAAGTGATCTTTTATTTGATCACTGTCCAGACCAGTGATTCACAACACTGGCTGTGCATTAAAATTGCATATATAGGTCAGAATCTCTCCAGTGAGATTCTGATAGAGTAGGTCTGAATTGAAGCCTGGCTGTCTTTATTTTTTATTAGCTTAACAGGTGATTTGGATGTGCAGAGATGATAATTACCAAACACAAACATACCTCCATTAAATGTATCTTCATCCACATATTTGAAACATTGCTCATTAATAAGCTTATTCATTAGACTGAGATTTTCAATGGCAGACATTCCATATTCATTTTGTATCCCCAGTAACTAGCTAAGTTTTCATCACATAGGCACTTAGGAAATGTTTTTGTTGTTGTGTGCTTGCTAATTAATGTAGTAATAACTCCTTAAATCAATGAAGAATCATGACATTGGTTAGGTTCATTCTAAGTGACAAACAAAATGTTCATGAAATCTCTATTTAAAAATCAAACACAGAACTACTTTTGGAACAAATATTATCTTTGCTCTTTTTTTAGCCTTTTTTCCTAAGATGGATAAGTCTCCTTGAGGAAAATCAAGAGTAATTTTGCTAGAAAAGCATTTTCACCATTAAGGTGCTAATGGACACACTGAACATTGCCAAGAAATAAACTTTAGGGGGCTCTGCCAACTCAGTGACATGCAGACTATGTATAGTGTGAAATGTACTTTTACAATAAGATAAAACAAAATAAAATAGCAAGTGGAAGTATAAAAATCATGTGTAGTACAAAACTGTTTTCACTAGTATAAATTTAAAATGTGAGCAAGTATTAAACCGATTTTGCTGTCTTGGAAATAACTGATCTTTAGATATAGGTCAGGTCAATCTACTACTTATTTTTTATTTGTTGAGTGGCTTCTGAATTTCTCTATTTCTATTTCTTCTCCAAAGAGTGGCCATTGGTACCCACATACACATACAGGTACACACCACCCTCAACACACACACACAGACCTTGACCTAAATTTATTGTAATAAACAAATGCAGGTGTTCAAGCTGCCATGGTCTTAACTAGTACTGATGTTTTTCAGTTTATATTTTTAAAAATCAAATATAATATATTGCCAAGATAAAGGAAAACTTTATTCACTTTAGTTATTTCTTACTAGTTCTTCAATAACACATAATTATATAATTCTAAAACTGTACAAAACTTTCAAGATAAAGTAGAAAATAGCACATTTTAGAGTCATTCCTTTGAGAAGAGGCAGTTTTACACAGCCTATTCAACACAAGCTCTTCCAAATGGTTTGCTCCACGATTTGTATCCAAGTTAAAGCTGAGTGGAGATTTGATTGCTCCCAATTAGCAGAAGTATATTTTTAGAAAAAATAAGTTTAAAATGACAAATTTAAAGAAAAAGATAAAACTATTTTGAACAATTAAATGTTGCCATCCACAATTAGTCTGTAAAAATATCCAACTGTCTTTTTGGTCCTCTGCTTCTGTCACATTTGGTAACTCCTATGTTGCTAATATGTCCCACCTTCTGAACATTCACAGTCATGAGAAACTCAATGCACCCAAAGGAAAATGCATTAAAAATATATATGACATCTCACATGTTGAAAGAATACCTTTAAAAGTCTTGCAGTGTTTTGCTGGTTTAAAAAAAAGTCTCACTGATATAGTGAAAGAAGGTGCAGGCGTTCATTATGGCTTGCTAACTTCAAAGGAGAGTAATTCAGGCTAAAAAAAATCAAATTTAGCAATCTTTTTGATGCCTCACTAGATTCAGAATCTTACCAGGTATCGCCTAATAAATAGTTGAAAACTTCAAGAGAGATCTTGGAAACTGGCATGTCACATCCATTTCCTAATTTGTCTGTTAAGATAGCACATTACATGATCAGATAGCCAGTTTTAAGATAATTTCACTCTTTAGTAACGTCTGCTTTATAACATCTCCTGTTTTCGACTTGCAGAGAGTCATTGCCCAGTAGTACCCAGCCATTTAAGCCAATTTCATTAAGATATGATCCGAGGGATATACAGTGTTTTGTTTTTTTTTTAACAGCATCTTTCAATGAGACAAATGTTTCAACTAATCTGAAAGAAGGACTGTGATGAGCAAGTCAGCCTCTCTATCTCTGGCTTGTCTATAGATATCACCATGATAAAGTTTCACTTTATGTGAAGCAATAAAAATATCACTTATGTTTCCCTGGATGAGCCTTATTAGTTCCCAGTAAAGACTGCCTAAGTTGGGAAGAGATGAAATTAGGAGTTGGAAAAAGTTGACACTAATGTTGAACTATGATACACATTCCTTTTATAGGTGCAGCCAAAACACGTTGCTATTTAAACGTGGTGATTTGCATACACAATGAAATGTTACTATAGGAAAGCTCCAGTTGCCTTGTCTAGAAACATTCATCCACGGATTTAAGCACATTCTTAATTCTTCTTAAAAATATTCATCAAGACAAAAATAAAGACCATTTCTGTGAGCTTTTAGATAAACAATTGACCTCTTTAAATAAGTTACATCCTAATATCGACATTTGCAGACCTCACAAAGAACATTACATGATGATCTGCAAGAAGAGAAAAACATCTAAGAAGAAAAGATTGGAAGGATTTTCATATCAGATCACATTTACCAGTAGCATTGTCTAGTTTGCAAAGTTCAGCAATGTCAAATGCACATTTTGTTTTCTGTGAGAGTATCTGACCTTTATTTAAAATGTCACTCTTACTTTATTCCCTAAATCATAATTACTTGGTTCAGTTAATGATGTATAAAGCAGTTTGGCTAGCTTTTTTTTTTTTAACACTGTACATCCTTATGAGAGAAAATTCATAAAATCCCATCAAAATTGTTCAATATTGACCTCATATTGCACCACTAATTTGCAACTTATTTTAGGAAATCTAAAAACAGAATGCAAGCTAGCATGTTTTAGAAGGTTTTGAAGTTATTGTTTTTGTTTCAGAAATTCTAAATTAATCAAAGTTCATTATCTGAATTTCAAACACAGCTTTTTATAAGTTTATAACTTTGAAGGGTATTTATTTGGAAGTAAAATCACAAAATGCAGGAGAGAATATAAAACTGATCCAATCTGATAAGTGTTAGATCCTTTCTTTATTGTTACTACATATACATGGCCTTGTCAATAATTATATGAGGCCAAATCTTTCTTCCATGCCCAGGGATAAATCTATTACCCTGTAATTTATATCAAAAATAAATGTTACATCATTTTAAAGAAAGTATTTGGTGAGCATATTTATTGGTACCTTCAAATATTCTTTGTAAGAGATGACACATTTGGGTCCTTTTTTCTCAAATATTGAAAATGCATACATACATCCATTGCAGTTTTTTACACCTGCAATTGTCATTGAATATAGAGTCTGAACAGAAGAAGTGACATAAAATTAAATAATATAAAAATCATTTAATGTACATCACATAGCCAGGACCAAGTTGAGGTGAATGAAGCACCAGGGCGTGAAATTTGGAGACATTCACTGTCAAGGTCGTGCAAGTACCCTGATAGGGAACCCCCCTTGTCTCACTACAGTCCCAACCCTGGAACATTGAAGCTGGCATTCTCGCAGTTAGAGTATTTTTTGTTTGTTTGTTTGTTTTGTTTCAGGTGCACGTTTATTAAAATCTGAAACAAAGGATTCCTCTGCAAGGCATTTTCCCACATGATATGGCCACCCTGCCCCACCACCCTCCTACGTTCACCCTAACTTTCAATGACAAAAAAGGCAGAGGCTGATATGTGCTATTGATTATAAAAATCTAGGCTTTTAAAAAATTCCTCTCCAATGTGTTTTAGTTATTTCTGAAGAACTCCATGGTCGTCAGTTGGCTAGCACACCAACGGAAACTTGCAGAATCATCGCTAACTATGAAGTACTTCGAGGCTATAAATTCACCTCCCAAGTTTCCACCTTTAGAGAAAGAAGGCATGGGGAAGAGAATAATAAACCGAGGTAGGATGACTGAATCGGTCCATGGGAGCCACACCAGATTTCCCCAATTTCTCCAAAAATCAGATTCCAAATGTCCCACGATCTCTTTCAAATGTGTTTTTACAAATTAGAGAATCAGTGTTTCCTTACAGGAGTACATAAAGAGTTTTCACCGCTGAAGGACTCTGTAAAACCACAGAACCTGTGTAACTGAGAAGCTCTTTGGAATAACATTTTTAAGCTGAGAGAAGGGACAGTGGTAATTTTCTCTCATAGTTCACAGGCTTTTTCTTTACGTTGTTGGTATTTTTTAGTCAAAAAAGAGATGGAGTCTCTTTTCTAGGTCCTACCGGCCACTTTTTCTTTTTATCATCTATCCAATTGCTCAGGTAGAACAATTATTAGAAATCTTTAAGCTATTATTTCTGGGCCTTTCTTAATTTCCTTGAAAAAAAAAACTACTTTGGAAATATGCGATACCTGATTATTCAATGAGATGAAGCAACAAAAGGAGAGATTCAAGGATGCCCCTCCTCACATCACACAGACAACTTGGGCCTGAATGATTACCACATTCAATGACTGCCCAACAATCCGATTCTACATGTTAGAGACAGTTTTATACCAAACCGACAGGTGGTATGTTTTAAGTGATTGTGCCCACAATAAGCAAATGACATAGTGATGGAACATCAGAATAAAACTGATGAATAAAAAGGCACACTCTAAAACTTTGGAAGTAGAAAGAGAACAGTTCTTTTTGGTTTGTTTTGTGTCTAATGTAGGCAAAAAGGAGAACAGGTGTATTCAGATTATTTTCAGGTGAAGGGCTCTGTCAAAGCAGTTAACAGTGGCTTCTTTCTCCTGGGGCCAAAGCAATCTTTGCCTTCATCGGCTTCTGAGAACGTGTTTAGTGTTCCGATGTGTAGAAGTGATACATCAGGGCTACAACCAGTGCCAAGATGCCTGGGATCACCCAATTGGTCCACCAGCTGGAATTAGAACCAACTGCGGTAATAAGAGTTTCCAGAGGCTTGGTTATCTTTGATCTGTTATCCGGATGCAGCTCCCCAATGATGAATGTTTTGGACAATTCTCTAGCATCCGGAGAGTGCCCAACATCCTCAAAGTTTTCAGCAGCATCACCTCCAGCTTGTTCCCTTAAGACTTCTTCCCCACCGGGATGCTCCTCCAAAAATTTGGTCAAATCATACACCTTGGCGTGCAGGATCAGCCAGGTGCTCCTGTGGTTGTGCTTCTGAATCTCTTACAGAGTGTAGTACTGCACGGCTTTGTCCACTGCTCAGCCATTTCGGAAAGGGTGAGCCTCAGGCCCTGGAAACAGCAGCGGAGCCGGGTAGAGCAGAGCGAGCTTCTCAGCCGCATTTAGAGTATTAATTCTATTTATTGCTTTACTTCAAAATAATTTTAATCTTACCAGATCAAGTACTCATACTTGACTCAACAAAATCAGCCTTATAAAGATCCTCAGCTAACATAATCAGCACACTCAGCATAAAGCGTACCTGTATGTTCATGTGTACCAAGCACCAAAATACAGATGCACATAACAGGAAAAAGCATTTTCTCAAAAAGGATGATTTATTTTCCCCCCAAATCAAACCACACTGTGTCATGGTCCCTGAAAGTAGAAATTCAAGATCGTAAAGATAAACTGAGAGCCTGAACAATCTGAATAAAATAAAACAATTTGTGTTGGACTATAGCATCAAAAGCAAGATAGGTCAGAAGTCAGACTCCAGTTCTGCTGATGAATAATTCTAGGTGCATTCTTCTTATAGTCTTAAGCATTATAATACTGTGATCATTGTGTTATAATTATGGAGGAAGAAGAGGACTTATAACTGAAAAGAAGAAAAATATCTTTTATATGAGCAAAGGCAGCTTAATTAAACTCATCTGTAAAATCTATCCATAAAGTGGAAGGGGCATTACGGAGAACAGAGGCTGTGAAACAGGATTCATGACAGACTAGTCACATAAATCGACTGCAACATAGTTCACTGATTTTTTTCCCAAGACATTAACCCACATTCTAGATTCATATTGCTTAATTCACTTTTATTTTCCCAATGATAATGCCAAGAAGCATGCATAAAGATACATGTACAAACACACACACACAAACACAATGTCAAGTAAACTGGTATTTGGATACATCCTGAAGGCTTAATTGTTCCACTTTATTTGGCTGTAAGATTCTAATATAGCCATAGTTTGATATTTTCCTTACGCCTGACAAATTATTTAGAAAAAACAGTTGCTAACTCAAGCAAGCAAGTGACAGATTTCCAAAGTCACATCAGCAATTTCTCTTCCTTAAGAGGACTACTGAAACCCCATTAACTTGATATGATATATTTTAAAAGCTCACTTAGGTCTATACAAAAATAGTTGATTTTATATTTTTTTATGAAATTTGCAAACACATGGGGACTTCTGCATGTTCATTCAATATGAAATAATGAAACTAGCTAAATCAGAGTAATTAAGCTTATCTCTAGAAGTGGTTTTTAAATAATTAATTGAATATATATGTATAAAAGCTATTATGGACCCAAAGATTCTGGACCTATTAAAATACAGAGTCTAATCAGTTTATTACTGCCAAGGCTAAAAGGAAAGTGGCTTCAATTAATTAGAGTATGGAGATGTGTAACAATAATTCCCACATTAATACATTTGATAACTCAGTAATTCATGTATTATTTTCTTGTCAGCATTTTGAGTTTTATGGATATTTAGCTGTTTAAAAATAATTAGATATCTCTGTTCTGTGGGACTCACAGACAGTTGCCAATAGAGGAACACAAAGCAAGTGTATTGGGTAGGATATGAAAAATAAAGAGTAAGCACATCATTTTATATTTGTAGATCTTGCTGGGACTGTTTTCTTATCTATAAAGAATGAAGGCTGCATTAGTCTTTGTGGTTGTGTAATAAATTATCACTAACTTAGCAGCTTAAAACTACTCATTATCTCACGGTTGTGTAGGTTGGAAGTTCAGACAGGTTTGACTGGGTTGTTGGCCTAGGGTCTCATGAAGTCAAATTCAAGGCGTTGGCCAGGCTGGCTTTTATGTGGAGTTTCTGGGGAAGAATTTGTTTCCAAGTTCATTCAGGTCGTGGAAAAATTTAATTCCTGTACTGAGGTCCCATTTTCTTGCTGACTGTCTTTCGGGGATCACTCAGTTTCTAGAAGCCACTCTTAGATTCTTAGTCCAGGGTCCCCTCCATCTCTGCAAAGGAAGTGTCTCCCAGATGTTGGTGTTGAATCCCTCTATGTTTTGAATCTCTCAGACATCTTCTGCTACCAGCTAGAGAAAATTATCTGCTTTTAAAGGGCTTATGTAATCAGATCAGGCCCACCCAGATAATCTCCTTTTTGTTGAACTCTAAGCCAATTGATTAGTAACCTTAATTGCATCCGCAAAATTCCTTTTGCCACTTAATTTAACACAGTCATGGGGGGGGAGCGGAGGGTATAGCTCAGTGGAACTGTGCATGCTTGCATGCATGAGGTCATGGGTTCGATTCCCAATACCTCTGTTAAATAAAAAAAAAATTCATAAGTAAACCTAATTACCCTCCCCCTACCAAACAAACAAACAAAAAAAACCACCATCACAGACATCTCATCAAATTCACAGTCCCAGAGACTACCATGTATATCTTGAGAGAGCGGCATTTTAGTCTTCTCCCTATCACAAAGGAGTTGAATGAAAATGACTTAGTTCTAAATATTCTTATTGTAACCAAACTCAAATTTGGAAGTAAAGTGGACTCTGGATCATGCATTATATGTACCATCAATTTTTCAGAGGCTTTCCATTTTATTTCTATCTCAGGTGAAGAAAGAATAAACAAAATATATCATTATGTGTTCTCTAGTTATATTAATGAGAGATTTAGTCCAACAGATAATTCTGCAACTGGTGGGAACAGTATGTATTCTCCTCCATTATTAATTAACAGAAATTTCACCCCTACTGAAATGGTAAGGCTACCTATTCAAAAGCAAACAATAGTCTGTAAAATAAATATTCAAGCAAGGAGAGAGGAAGCATCCCATTTGCATTAAGCAGGGTGTTGGTTACACTAATCTATGGAGTCTCCTGATTTTGTCTTACATGTTTCTATATACTTGGCATATATCATCTAATAGGTTGAATAAATGATGCTTTGTCTGTGGAATGCTAAACTTCCTGATGACTCCAAGTGTCTATATTTTTATTATATTACAGGAGCATAAAAATAATTTGCATATGTTATGGAGTATTACCCAGGCAAAGCATAGAATCATGTGTATTGCAATATGTTTGGGGATAATTTGTATACTTGATTACATGAAAGATGAATTTTTCTGGTAACATCATTTAGTAAAAATTACATAAAACTTCATTAGAGGAACAGATTTTATCATGAATTTTGTAATAGTTATTTCAATTTATGAAACTGGAATGCTATACAACATTTCTATTAGAAAAATCTATTATATTAATGCATTTCTTTTCCACTGAAACACTCATCTTTAGTGTTTTTTGCTAATCTTCACATCATTTTCAATTAGTGGGTTATATTATCAGAAACTGATTTTACATACATTAGACTTTTATAAATTTAACCACTGTATTTATAACACTTGTTAACCTACCAAGAAAATAGAAATGGAGAAACCACTATTAAAATAATGAAATGAAATATTCTAAAGCAGTGATTTTAAAGAACTGGCTATACTTAACATAGAGTGGCTTCCAAATCATGAAGTTTTAGGTAGTTGTATCTGTTCCTGTTTTGTGAACCATCTCTCACCATGACTAATTAGTTAATGTGCAAAATGATTTGGAAAATGCAATACATTTTTGGATTTATTTCACTTAGCATGTAACCAGACTTTTAAATCTTCCAATCAAATCATTTAGAAATTGTCAGTGATTAAAGTCAACATTCTCAAAATAACCATAAGATATTTATGGCACTTTACAATTTCCATATCTATATTGATTGTTTGGTAACATTCTGAAGATACATATATCCCCTAGAAATAATGGAGCAAATTTACTGTCTGATGATATACATTTTGTTGGATTGAAAATTACTTGGATTATTATGATTCATTCAAAAACAACTAAGGTATGTTTTGAGGATCTGTTTTATACCTGGTACAATATTGGGTGTTTGGAATGCAAAGATATATATTATATAGTGGTCCCCCTTAGATGATTTGGTGATCTGACAAACAATCATAAGTTGCAAAATCCATTAGTTTAGTGACTTTTTCATCCTACATATAACAACTTTTAAGACATTCTGATAGCTTTTAATTTCAGCTACGGAATCTAGTTATTTTGTGAAGTTGTCCAGTTGATTTTGATAGCAAAAGGAGACAGCAAGCATATTTAGAGGCCACAACTGTTACGAGTATAACTCCAGCACTATACCACAGGTTAGAATTTCACACATTGAATCTAAAAGACATTGATAGAACAAATTTGGTGAAAACTCTGTAAATTCAACTGAAATAAACTAGAATTATGATCAAATAACAAAATTCAACATTTTAATGAAATATTAAGTAAAGATAAACATACTTGAGGATAAACAATTAGAGTTGAGGCATTCCAATGTGAATATGTATTTTTAAGGAGGTTTATTTTCAACTGGTCAAGTATCAAACATATTCTAATATTTCTCTCCAATCATGGTGTAAGTAAATAAACTTATGCAAGTAATTCTCTGAACTCAAAAACTGCAGCCATCCATTGTCTATGTTCTCTAAAGACAGCTTCTTCCCCATTGATAGTAGACTTGATGAATTCCTATAAAACCATTAAATACACACAATCAGGCCAATGAGATTTCTTTTAACCTTGGTTTCCTGAAATTTGTTTATCTTTCAATTATTATTGAAGTTGCTTTTGAGTAAAGTAAGTGACAATATGAATTTCTAAAATTAACATTGAATTAAAGAGCATCTTTGAATTAAATGTAAGAAAAGATCTTATAGTTCTTAATTCAAGCCTTAAAAATTATATGAACTATTAACGTGTAGGAGACCGAAAGCACAACGGTCATACAGCCAAGACATATTCATTTGTATTAAGATGGAAAGCTAATTTGGGATGCCTACATATGCATAACTTTTGTTAAGATGTGTTTGTGTGTTTGTTTAGTCAATTTGACTTCATTTATAGACATTTAATCATAAACGATGGGTTTCTGAGATCTTTGAAGTAATACAAAAAGTAGTAAAACTACTGATGTTAAACATCCTTCTTCATCACTTTGGATCTACCTAGGTCCAAGTTCTCTTGATTCTAACTGAAATAGCTCACCTATTTCTATTAGTAGTACTGCTATCTTAATTCAGGCACTTATTTTCTTATTTTTTGGTAACTTTTTTTTGGTAATTGAAGTAAAACATATACTTTCACTACCTTTCATCTTAAGTATTAAAATGATCTCCTAAATCATTTCCCTGCCTCCAAGTTAATGTACTCTGTAGCCTGTTGAACCAATTGATATAAGAATTATCCTCCTGTAGTCATGTTTTGATAATGTCACCTTCTACTCCAAACTTCTCACCACTTAATAAGGAGGGTTCAAACTTCCTCACCGTGTATTTAAGATCTTCCACTATCTGTCTCTAAACTGAAATTCACAACTCATTTCTCAAGTTTACCTTATCTTCTGCAACATACAACCAACTGTAATAGATGCAAGCTGTAGAGTATATTCATCTAGAGATAATTACGATTATTTATCAGAATTTTGTCCTACAGAAGTTACAGGTTTTAGATTTTGATTCTAGGATTACAATAACTAATTTGAACTGAAAAATATTGAGATGTGTAAACTGTTTAAACTTTATGATAAAATAATTCATGGCAATATGTTTAAAATAGAAATTCTATATTCATAAAATCTTGGTACATTACACAATGACGAGACTAAATTATTCAACTTAAACTTATGAGAAATTCTTTTATAAGGAATGTGTATTTTTATATATACATTAAATTGTAATTCTATAAAACATTCATTTAGAATCATATTAATAAATATGTAATTAGTAAGAGAATATCCTATGTATAAACCTATTATGTTTTCTAGAAATCTTGATGTTAACGTCTATGTGTCAACAAACATACAAACTTTTGCTAGTTTCCCATTGTAAACCACATAGAGAACTGAGGTCCTCATCCAGAAAACTCTAGCAAAATAAAATCTTAACTGTAAGTTCCTTTTTGTTAGTATGATATTGAGTACAAAATTGTTTGCCTTGCTATCCTACTTTTATTCTTAGATTTTTTTCATTATTCTTTGATCTACTAGCAAATAAAGTAACTTAAAGAATCAAATACAATGGTTGTTCCTATGGACTATAGTTGAGCATAGAGCCTTGCCCTAGAGAACTGGCCTTCCGATAAAAGGAGAGTTAACTTAAATATCTGGAGTTAGGTGATTTGAAGAGAGAGAGTGTATGCCTTGAGATATTTGATTAATTAATTCTCAGACATACCTGAAGCTGAATTTGTTGATTCATTCATAGCTGTGCTTAATCAGAGGTAATCACCTCTCTGCTGAGATTTCTTTCTTACTATTTACTTGTCACTTACCTTCTTACCTGATTGCTTTCAGTTTGACATATTATTATCACATTTTAGTCAACTTTTTGGCCTTCCCAAGGAAATTACAACTTCATAAATAGTCAACTTTAAGTCTCCTTATAATGCTGTGTGTGTATGTGTGTGCGCGCATGCGCGTGTGCCTGTGCCTGAGGGGTTAGAGTGGAGAGTTAAGGGTCATAGTTGTTATTCTTACAATGATTACTATTGCTTAAAATCGCAGTGTGCATGGTGCCATACTTGCCCTTATGTTGGAGGGCTGTATACAAAAAAAGACATTGAACATAAAGCCTATTAAGATTGAGTTTAGTTCTGACACTATAACTGCTAGCACTGTGAATTTATCAAGGCTTTCAATCTCCTAGATTGTTTCCATTCTTAGAAAGAAAAGTGTTTTTTTTAAAAAATATTTGACATAACATCTCACTGTAGTGTTTCGATCTTGCAGAGAGATCATATATAAATATGAAAGTATTTTGCTTTTACTGGGTGATAGCACAAGCAGACTGATGCATATTAGTAATTGAAATTTCATTTCAAATGCTTATTTTTAAGCAGAATTTTCCCAACACAAAAGACATATGTTAATCTTCCAAGAATGTAAGATTGACACCTAAACATTGGAGGGTAAGAGGAAGAAGATACCTTATAATGGTAGATAACTATGAGCTTGGTGTGGATCAAGATGATCAAGAGGCATTCTACTGGGTCTGAAATGCGTTCAGGGAATATTGCCATGGGGATATTTCCTGCAAAAACTTTTCTTTTTCACATTTTGAACTGATGGCAGATTTTCCACTTTTAATCAAAGGAAGTTCTCAATTACTTTAGGGAATTTGGGCTTTATTAAACCTCCTGGAAAGTCAACCTGAGTTTTATGGATTCAGGTATGGGATATTCTTTTTAAATTTCGCATGGCCTCGTGATAAATGACCTCCTCAAACAACCACTGGTATTCTGGTTCTCTCTCCCTTTTCAAATATTAAGAAAAATTCTAATCCACTGGATAGAATTCAGGACAATATAGACTTAAGAGAAGTGGGTGTACCAGCAATCCTTCCCCGCAGGCGAGGATAAAACCCTTCAGGGAGATTGAAAAAAATGAAAGCCATAAAATTAGAGAATACAAAGGAACAGATTACTTTTCAATTCAGTAAAGGTCTGTAATTCTACCCTGCTCAGGTGCAGATGGGAACTACTCAGGTCAGAATCAAATCGGTTCAGTAAGAGGGAGCCCTATGAATAATGAGCTGTTCTCTAGCGAGTCAATCACTACCAACTGCCTGTTTAAAATGTCAGAGCTGTCAAGGTCAGTTGGCATTCAGCTGAGGGCAGCACTGACCTAGTGTCACTTACACACAGTCTTTAAATTAAATTTGAAGTCTCAAAAAAGGATTATCTTCGTTTTTAGAGACCATATTTGAATCAATAATGTTTGGGGCACTGCAGTAAAAGAGTGATGTGGGTTGATTCAAGTTTACAAGCTGTAGACAATTGTCCATTAAAGCAATTACATTAACACTTCGGGCGGGTTGGAAATCAATACTAAGGCACAGGCAGAGTATTTGCATATTTTTTTTCTGTTGTGTCCTCACCGAAGCTTTTGGAAATTGTTGTCTTCAAGGCACTTTATACTCCAAGACCAGGACTAAACAGTGAGGTATTGAGCAAAAGAGAATCTTATCAGGAAGAGAAAGAAATACACATGAGAAAGAAAAAGAATGAAGTTTGGGTTTGATAAAAATAACTCTTATCATAAGGACACTAATGAACCCATCTACAAAACAGAAACAGACTCTCAGACATAGTAAGCAATCTTACCGTTTCCGGGGAAAGGGGGTGGGAAGGAATAAATTTGAGAATTTGAGATTTGCAAATGTTGGCCACTATATATAAAAATAGATTAAAAAAGCAAATTTCCTCTGTATAGCACAGGGAACTGTACTCAATATCTTGTAATAACCTTTAATGAAAAAGAATATGAAAACGAATATATGAATGTATATGCATGACTGGGACATTGTGCTGTGCACCAGAAATTGACATATTGTAACTGACTGTACTTCAATTAAAAAAAAATACAAGACTGATAAAAAAAAACTCTTATTATAAATATTAAAGGAGCAAAGTATGTTTCCTCTGAAATAACTTGATTAGCCACTCCTTGTGACTTGATCTTAAATTAACTTTCAGGTACTTTTCAAGTAGAGAACTGATGGGGACTCAGTTTATTGAAAACTTGCTTAGTTACACCTTAAACAAGCCTGATGGACTGTTTTGATTATTTTTGCCCTTTACAGAGTAAGTGTAAAGTAACACTAATTAAAAGCTTTTCTACTGAATAATCCATGTGAATTATCTTCTGAAGTTTAGCTTAAGGGGCCTACATTGACAAAAACACATTTTATTCCCTTTGCTTAATTTCATTAGCAGGACTCCTCTTTGACTTTGTGGGAACATTTAGATTTTCCTCCAGAGCATGTTACAGCACAGAACGATTAGCAGAGCATTTGAAGTAACCACAGCTCAGGGATAATGGGAATGAGCCCTATAGCACTGTGCAAGCACTGGGGCCGTTTATAGATGTTCTGTGCAATGGTGGATAAAATAGGGACGCACTATATTGTACCAGAGGCATTTTCTCTAGAGCCCTCAATAAGTCCCTTCTATGCTAAATAATTCAAACTTGTATTTTGCATTCAGCAAACAATTGAAAAGGCGATGAAGTTGTAAAAGGAATTTTTCTCAGTCAGTAGACTTCTTTCCATTTAAAAGGAAAGTGAGTATGTTAAAAAAAAAAAAATCCTGAATTGCCTACCAAGTTGCTAGGGATAAGAGGAACAGAGATATCTGGCATCCTACAAAAAAATTAAAGGTCTTTGATCTTTTGTTGTTGTTGTTATAATTTGCTCTGTGACACTTTCTTGAGACATTTTAGGCTGCATTTATTATTTATATTTTTGTATGAACGTAACAGAGTGATGAGAAAAATATATTTGTCGGAAAAAAAATTCCCGAATTTAGCTTGCTTTCATCTTAATTTTTTTTTTCTTCCACTAACTATAATTCTACTGTTACTGTGTTCATAATTTGAAAAATTCTGTCAGGAAATCTTGGAATCATGTAGATTCTCTTTTACCTGCTCATTAGCAGAGCTCTAATTTTAGGTAAACCTCAATTGAGACCTATATAGCCAGTTACACTAATTAGTCTGTAATTTCATAATCTGTGTGTTTCCAGAAAGCAGAGACTTGAAAAATTCTAGATCTACAAATGCTTTTGGCCATATGGATTGCCAGACAGAGTCAAACTGTCACTCAAAAAGTTACTTATAAAATTCTCCTCAGAGCCTCCAGGGATGATCGGTCTGTGGATGAATTTCTCATTTATAGACCTGCCCCCAGAGCATCTCTCTCCTTAGAAATATTCGATCCCCTTTTATTTTCAAGGTGATAACAGATAATATCTCAGCCATTTATGATTCTGTGTTTTCTATCACATAGAAGTGGCTTTTATTTTGGTCCATATTTGGTATTACACATGTGCATATAAATTTTCATTTTTAAATGAGCCTTTGTTCTATAATATAGTTAGTAGTTGTAAAATCAGTCAAGTTCTATAACTATGGTAAATAATGTAAATGGTAGAGATTTTAGCCTCACAAAACTGGAAGGGCTTTCTTGTCATAGTCCTTCATTTTATTGATGAGGAATCTCAGGAAACCAGAGAAGTTAAGTGACTTGTCTAAGTTCATGCAGCGTATCTTTGATATCTGTCAGCCTTTCTGAGAATTCTCCCCAATGTAGATGGTGGATGGCAGGTAGGGAACATGAGGGGAAAAATCATACTGAGAATACTGAAGAGAGGCAGTATAACACCTACAGAATCTGTTTCCAGGTTCTGATCTGCTACTTAATTAGGTATCAGCTTAGACATGACTACACTTCATAATTCACAAGGGTGTGAAGGAGGAGGGATTGTATTAAGGCCCCAGAGTTACTAGGAGAGTATTAATAATCCATCCACTGTTAAAAAGTAGACTTAGTCTAATTCATAGTCTAAATAAATGAAAGAACGTATATTTCCCTGCACCTATTTTTTCAGTTAAAAATTAAGAAGTTGAGACAAATAGACACCTAGACTGGAAATTAAGTTTCAAGGTTTATTTTCATGATTTCCCTTATCTGTACTCACCACTGATATAGCAGGCTGTGAATATGTTCTTCACTGCTGCACTGAGTAACACTTCTCTCACTATGCATACAAAAAAGACTGAACTATCTTGGGGTTTTGTCAAATGAACAACCTAATCAAACTTGGCTCTTGTGGTCTGTATTCTTTGCAGGTACCCATAGTGAAAACATAGCCTTATATCATGCTTAGGAGCATCATTTATTCATATATATTATATAAGGAGTGGTTGCTTTGAATAAAGAAGGTGCTAAAAGGGTTATGATTAATTTTATCAGACATAATGAGATGTACAAATGATTACTATAAATCAAGAAAAAAATTGTAGTGTAAATCAAATGCAAATATTAGTCTGAGAGGGAGGAAATAGGATTTTATCACATTTACTGAACTTTAAATTTAACAGGAGTTTGCCCAGGCAATACACTTTCAGACACACTCAAATTGCAATTCAACAATTAGTGGTTTGCTGTGTAAGTAAATGTCTTTCTAGCGGGAAACGTATGGCTGGTATATCCCCAGCTGAGAATGTTAATGTCATAGGGGTAAAAGTTCATAATGAATGATACACGCTCTGAAAATGACGCAAAAGATAGTTGATTTCTTTTCAAGTATTGTG